TTGTTGAGTTTGTAACTAAGTTTTTCAATTTTTCGTACAATTATTTTATCGATATATTATTCAATTTATTCAAATTAATAATAAAGTTTCAAACAAATTTTAAACAGCATTTTTTATATATACCTTTACATAAAAGCTTTTTCGGTGGAAAACAAACTACCCATCCTTGATAGCTCAATACAAAATATCAACAACAAATTCAAAACTTTCGTTTTTACTAAAATAAGTAATAAATGATTTTGTTTGAATGGACGGAGTGAATGCAGCGAAGCTTACCAAACAAGCACGGTCTCATCATTTGTGAATCGAGCCTTCACACATTCTACAGAACCAGAGGATAGAGTAGCTGAACTAATACGGATAACCAGCATGCTAATTAACAATGGTTACAAAAGAATATTCATTGAAAATATTATTAACAAAAATTAATACTATCGAAAAAACAACAAATTATGTGGAGCGACAGAAAAAGCAAAAAAAACACTGGTGGCAGAAAGAAAACAAAAATTATAAGACCTATAAAAGGGTAAAAAATCTAAAAAAACAAAATTTGGAGGTTATATTTATAGCAATTCTTACTTTTAAAGCTACTATATTTTTTTAATTAAAGATAAGAACGGAGTGCTATTAAGCGATTAAAGTAAAATTAAAAAACGTTTGAAAAATATACAAAGGAATGGTTTTTTGTAGCAGCGCTTGAATGTAATAAGAATGAGGAGATGCCAAAGGATAAATGACAAATTTGCTAAATGAAAAAGTTCTAACGGCTATAAAAGAAATGAAGATAAACAAAGCAGGAGTGGGTAACATATCGGCTAATATATTTAAGATTCTAGCGAAAGAACCAAAACGGGATTTTGTCAAAATAGGTCAACAAATTATACTAAACCGGTTAAGAAGTTTTAAAAAAAAACTATTCCATGACTGAAAAAATTAAACATACATATTTTTTCACTAAAAAGCATACAAATATTTTTTTTAAACTGAAAACATACATTAAAAGTAAAATACAAGTTAAATCAAACATTATATTAAAAACTCCTAATGATTGCGATTTTTAGAAATTGGGCTTCTTAACAATTTCATCGTGGGACTAAATAGAACGTTTGAAGTACATCCTAATCAGCATATAAAAAAACCATATAACCTTTGTGGTGAAGGGCCTTCCAGGGCTTTACCTTTTGGCTTACCAATGAAAGTCACTTGTTCTGATTTCAGATTAATTTCAAAGTATGTAATACTGCAACCAAGCGAAAAAATTTTAGATGGTAAACAAAAATTAATTGCCGCTAATGAATTGGAAGCTTATACAGTAGGTAATTAAATTTTTTATTAGTTTGATAAAAATCAATAGTTTTTACATTTCAGTTTTAACAAAGTTAATAATTTTTATTATTATTTTTTTTTGTTTTAGTTTAGTCCGTTTTAATTGACACTTTTTTCAAAACACTTAATACCGCTGATATGTTTACCTAAGATTGTAGCTTAAACAATGGCAATTGCCCTGAAAGTTGCACAGAGGAATTATTGGACGCGGTCATAGTAATTAAGTGTGTACCTTTCCGTGACAAACTGCTATTAAATCAAAACTTTTACGGTTATTAGCACTGATTGTATAGAAATTTGATTGTTTTTATTACTTGATTATTTTTATGATAGTTTTTTAAATTAAAATTTTCACTATTAATTTTTTCCAATTCTGTTTAATATTTTTTTGTGTATTTCATACTTTTTTTAAAATGTCTTTTCAGTATTGTTTTAATTTTATATTCTTTCCTGGTTTCTTTTTTTTGTCGTTCTAATACTCTTCTCTTTTCTTGTTGTATCATTTTTTTGCATAATTAAGCAATTTTTGCGTTTGCCAGAATTTGATTTCTAAAAAGAATAAAAATAATTGCAAACTATTTTAAATCTTTTTAATAACAAATTAATACAAAAGATCTCAAATTTATACGAAATTTTTATCGTTATGATTATAAAAATATTTGATTTTGATATAAAAATTAAGAGTTGTGGAACAACAGTTATTACGGATGCTTTGCACATGTTTTAGCATTAACATCAACTCCATTTAAAACTGTCAAACACTGTTCAGATTTCTGCAACACAAAATTTTATGCCCTGCACGTAAGATTATTTTTATTTGTTTTTCATTTAACTATCTATTTTACTCAATCAATTTTTTATAATTTTACTGTCTTATTATATCAATAATTAACAGAAGTCTGAAGATAACGTATCGACATGCACATGTTCTGTGGATGTGAATAACGCAGCTATTCCTAAAATGTGCAATGTAATTTGCGGAGTCGAACAAATGTGTGGCGGCAGTGGGTTCTTCTCTGTGTATTCAAGTTTGATTGATGATGACAACGGTGATGATGATGATATTGGTTGCGTCGCCAGTATTTATTACTGATTGATTGTCATTTTCCTTATATACATTGAATCAATTTTTTCGTTATTATAACGAAAAACAAGTTGATAATAACTAACCGCAAAGTAATGGTTGTAGTTATCTTAATGATAACAAATTTGATTGTTATAACTCCACAAATTAGTGTGGAAAAAAATTTTTTAATAAAATATCATCAGCAAAATAGCGACAAATCAATCAATGCACAATTTCAATTCCTTATGGAAACGTCGAATGCGCACAATTCTTTGTAGATTTTCAAAATATTTTTTTGACTTTAGTTTTTTTCATTTTTATATTATTTACATTCGTACAGGTCATAAAAAAGTTTTTTTTCTAATTTTCTTACTCGATAGTACAGTTTTAATTAATCTGTTAGCTAGTGTTCTGCAAATATATCCAAAATATACCATTTGGAATATTGGTCTTGTATTGTATTTTTTCATATACTTTTTCTTCGTTTGTCTAATATTAAATCCAAAACAAACAAACAGACAAACAAACGAAGGAACGAAAGAACGAATGAAAAAACAAACAAACATGCAAACAAGCAAAAAAATAAATAATAAACAAACGAAAATACAAACATACATACAAACACGTTAACTCCAATTTAAAACAAGGTAATGAAATCAAATTAAGCTATCATATAAAAAATTACACAAATAAACAGAATTAAAATATAACTGTATGTTGGGAATTAATGCCAGAAATTGTAATTGCCTGTCAGCGTTTATCTGTTTCCATAAGTCTTCAGCTGATTTATATTCATACAAAAAGGGTCTGATAAAAAAATTGGAAAAATTTCAGAAAAAAGAAACAAAAAGCCCACGGTCATGTAAAAATTTGGACTATAATTCAAAAATAAAATACTCAACCTTCTATTTCTTAAACTTTGTAGAACCAGAGGTGAATTAATTTTGATTTAAGGCCTACTGGAAAATACACAGACTTGTGGACTTTGCGATTTGTCCAGAGATGAGCCGTCGACCTAATGTCAATATAATACCAGAGGCAAAATTACTGTAGAAATTATTTCTCTTCGAATGAAGTTGTCAGCGCCCGGGACGGGTTGCCGGAAGATGTTAATAATGCTCCATCATTAGCAATTTTTAATACAGTTATAACTGCCCGGTAGTCGACGGGTTCGTATTATCCTAATGGAGAATAGTGACACGAAATAACTTTTAAACTACCGTTTTATTTATTTACAAATCAATAACTAATGTTAATCATTTAATCAATAATCAGTTGATAAAATTAACGTTAAGAAACTATCAAATTAACGTTCAGAAACTATTGCTCTCCGAATCGGAACTCCTTAACTTACATCGCAAATACGATAAAAATGCAACGCAGAGTCGAATATCAAATATCGCTTTCGACACTAACAATCGCTATTCGATGTCCTGCACGTTTTTGTATGCCAGTCTTATCGACGCTTTTCGAACGTCCCATATATCTCGCTGTCTTCGAAATGTATGCGTTCTTAGGAATAGTAGCGCCTCTAGCGAATATTTTGTGACAGTTGTAACAATGCTAAATTAAATTTGTTTTATAGCGATAAAAATATCTCACATCTTAATAGTATATTGTACTTACTCAATTGTGTTTAATTTGATCTTCAATGTAATGTAAACTTCTTCTACTTATTTTAAGATTTGTTTTTAAAATTTAACTTTGGTTTAAAAAATAATATAATTCATGTAAATAATATTTTGTGAAACTTGCTCTTTTTTTGTTTTCATTTTATCAGTTATATTATATTATTGCCTCTGTTTCAAGAAGATTAATGTTCAAAATTTGTTTCTTCTAAACTAACAACCTTAGAGTTACAGTATTATATTATAATACGGTCTTAAGCTGTTTGTACTATTGTTGCTATTGTACAATTGTTAAGAGTTAGAGTACTAAATTTACAATCATAATGATTACCACCCTTTTTTTTAATTTCCATAGAATCTTTAAATTTTTCTTCTTTGCTTGGATGCTACAAACTCGCAACGTTTGAATATGAACATGATGAACCAGGTCTCGTTGACCTTGAATGCAGAGCGCTGTGTTTCTCTTCCCTTTACACATTTTTTGGCACGAGGGTTAGTGGAATGATGATTTGATGACAATTTCTAAATTTTACAATTTGTAGTGACTCCACATGAAAAAGAAATCATTTTTTGCAACAACGCTCTTTATAGTTACAAAAGACTAAAATTTCATTATGGTATATATACCGAAACAATCAAATATGTCACTCTATCAAATTTGTTAAACTTGTTCACGTTCAGAGTTGCAAATAATTTTTCAATAATTTTTAATTAAAAATAAATAATTATTTGAAATGATTAAATGTGTTTAACAAATGCCTGTTGCTTTGTGTTCTTGATAAACGTTGAAAATATGTGCTTATAGGCACTTATTTGCTTTTGACGTAGTAAGGGCAAACGTTGTGTACGTGATACGTAGAACATTTTCTGCATCCAAACCCAGTCATTGCAAAGCAAAACAAGATTAATCACTTATAATCATTAAACATCCTTAAACCTACTAAAGAGTGAGTTGTTTTTCATTTTCTTTTTGACGAGGTTTTAGCCAGCCTCCTTTTATCAATCATATGCATTGCTTGTTGGATTTTTAGTAAATAAAGTAAGCCATGATGCCGCCGAAAGCTATAATAACAATCATTAAGAAACGTTCCTAACTGTAATGTTGTTTCGAATTATGATTACAAAAATATTTTGAAGGGTTTCTGTGGGGGTTTGAAATAACGCAGGAAAAACAGCATAATTTGCAAAACCTCATTGATTTAGTGCGCTTTAGACTCTGGTCTCATTCTTTAGTTTCAATGAACAAATTTATCAAAATTTTACAACTATTAGATTTTTATAGTTTATTAATAAATTCATTTCATAAAGATTTTTTAATTTTGATTCTTTTTTAATTGATTTATTTCATGCATTTAAGCATATTTAGTACCTACCTTTTTTCTGATCTCATATAGCCAGGCTGATTTGAGATTGTCATGCTTGACGGGCATATATGTTAAATGGCATTGCATTCCATATAATCCTAAAGCGATAGCAAATGCATAAACGGGAGAATAAATTGGGGTGGAATATACAATTCATGAGTATGCCTTGTTTGTCTCATGACAATCAGGGCCGACCTTATGCATAGCAAACTAGGTAGCCACCTTAGCCCTAGGATTTTTAGGGGCCTGAAACAAAAATATAAAAATTAAGTAAAAAATAACAGAACTTTATCAAATTTAATGAAAAACATCTACTCTGAATATTTATTGTGGTTTATGAGTGTTTATTGATAACCAAAAACATCAAAAAAAGACTTCGACAATTTGAGGGAGGCATATCAACTAATTTCTACATTTGATTTCAATAATCTCGATTTTGATAAATATGCAAACAAATTAATGTTTCCATAATATACAATTGTTCATGCGTCAGCATCGAAATCTCTCATAGAATAAAATTTTATCATTCGACGACTAAACAAACGCAAAGGTAAAAATTCTTGTAATTGTAATTCTATTTCAGAATAAAACCTCTTTTTTTAGAAATCATATATTGGAGAATTATTTTTATATAACTGTTTTTTAGATTAATAGCTTTATGCATAGGTTATGTGTTATTTATGCACGTGTTATTTATTCAGACTGAAATTTATTGAAATATGTAAAATTTTCTGGTGTACAGTTTTTAAACCACAAAATTTTTTTCGCTAAAGACCTCCGACTGCCTAAGGCTGTGACAATTAATGCGGGTTGTTGAAGTTATTTTTAGAAATAAGAGAATTTTTTAATCTTAGTTTATATAACTTTTGAACTGTTAAATTATTTTTATTGTTTTAAAAAATGGTTTTTATTATGTTTGAAAAGAAGGCCATTCCTTCACTTAAATAAAATAAATTTAACTTTTTGTCATTGATATTAATTTTTTGAAAACATTCAGGGTCTTACTGAATGTTATTGTAGCAACACCACGTTTGTGGCTGATCAAGTTTCCGCGGAAAATTGTGTTAAGAAGCAATTCGATGCGTATGCTGTCTACAGGGGTTTTATTTTTAAATTAATACCGTTTCAATTTACATTTTAGTATATGTCTGATTGCAATTACTGCCTTTTAAAATATTTTAATTTTTAAAAAGTTTTCGTTAATCATTTTGATTATTTTTTTGTTTTTTAATTGACAGACTGACCGACCGACACCGACCAATATACCGACCGACTGACTGACTGGTTGATTGATTGATCGACTGATCGATCGATTGATCGATTGATTGATTGAAAGTTTGCTCAGTTGCATTTAAAAAAAATAACTGGAAACTAAAATTAAATAATCGTCTTTCAAATAAATATACAGACAAATTAGGTATACATAGTGCGCTTAAATATTGACAATTTTATATAGAGGTTACAAAAAATAATGTTTAATTAGATCATATAAAAATATTTTCTTGTTTTTTCTTCAACAGTCAATTCTTATTTGGACATTAACGAGGATACAAAAAAAACCCATTTTTGTTTGAATAAGCAGTCGATCGACCCGTGTAGACCAGGACAATGTTTAAACGGATACATGGGCCAATCTTGTGATGTGCGAGGTATCTTGTGATTTCTTTAAATTGAACTAAAGTTATAAACCCAGTGAAACCATTTGGCAAAGATTTCAAGCTAGCATTTTTTAGCATTACGTAAACAATATAATTTATTCAAATATATATAACAATAATAAACTTATAATCGAAATGAGGAATTTATTAAAAATTGTCAAATTTATTTTCAACAAAAAATATCTTGCAAATTCATGCCTCAGCTCATGATTCAGAATTTATAGCCATTAAATTTTTTTGCAAAAATTTTTTAAATGTCATAAAATCACTAAAATTAACAGTGAAATAGAAACAGGACTTTATCATGGCTGTTCCACCTTAAAACGCTTTTCTGATAAACTATTTGCCAGACAATATTCTGTTTTATCTTGATTTTTAAAAATAATATCAATGTGAAAACCAATCAAAAACCAATTGTCGTCTTTTTTCATCTTTGCATTTTTTCATCTTTGCATAGTATTCCTTTCTACATCTCTGGTGACTTCAACTTGCACTTCAATAATTTATCATGTTCTTACACTCGTAGATTTAATGATATTTTGTCTCTTTTTAACTTAACACAATATTGTTCTTTTCCTACCCATACTTCTGGTGACACTATTGATTTTATTATAGCTTCATCTTTTTCTAAGCCTATTAATATCTCTGCTAGCTCTGTTCCTTATTCTGATCACCTCCTTATTGAATCTGTTTTTTATATTAGATTTTCTTCCTTCAAATTTATCTATGTCTATTTCTTAAAGATGCTGGTCTTCTCCTAATAAAGATACTTTTCTTCAATTTCTTACTGAAACTGTTTTTGATACTACCTTATTTTCTGATGTTGATGATTTTGTCTATGCTTTTAATATCTACATTCTTTCTATTCTTGATAAGCTTATTCTTCTTGAATCTTTTACTTATAGGCTCTATTCTCGTATGGCTCCTTGGTTTGATTATGTTTGTGTAGTAGCCAAGAAAAGTGTTAGAAGACTGGAGAAAGCCTATAGGTTAAATCCATCTAACTCTCTTTATTCTATCTATAAATCTGAATTGATTAATTATAAATATTTACTATTCTCTAAACACTCTACTTTTCTTAGAAATTTTATAACATCTGCCTCAACATCTAAAAATAGGTGATCTGTTCTATCTAAACTTCTTCATAAGAAATCCTCTCACTCATCTTTTTCTGTTCAACAGTTTCATGACTTTTTTGTAAGTAAAATTACTTCTTTAAGAACATCTAATTTTTCTTCTCATAACTTTACTAAACTTACTACTGAATCTTTTTCTGTATTTACTCCAATAAATCTTCTAGAACTTACTAAAATTATTAATTCTATGTCATCTACAACCTGTTCTCTAGATCTACTTCCTTCTAATTTACTCTTCAATATTTTATCCAATCATTCTCAAGTTAGTTAATTTATCTCTTTCCACCTCCAAATTTCCTACTTCTTATAAGAATTTTATTGTTATTCCTTTTCTTAAAAACTCATCTTTAGATCCTACCTCTTTAATTATAGACCTGTTACTAATATTACTTTCATCTTTAAAATAATAGAAAAAGTAGTTTTTAATCAACTGTCATCCTATTTAAACTTTAACTCCTTGCTACCTGTATCTCAATCTGGTTTCAGACCTGCTCACGGTACTGAAACTCAAAATATACAATGATATCCTTCTCTCTAGTGACAATAGTAATCTTACTCTTCTTCTTGCTTTTCCTCGGCTTTTGATACTGTTGATCATACTATTCTCTTGAGACTGCTTCATGTTTCTTTTAATATTACTGATTCTTGTCTATCTTGGTTTTCTTCTTATCTCTGTAATCGTTTTTCTTCTGTTGTTCTCAATAATTCTACTACTAACTCCTCTCTACTCTTACTTTCGGGGTACCTCAGGGTTCTATCCTTGGCCCTCTTCTATTTATACTCTATACTTCTGAACTACCTCGTATTATTAATAACTTTTCTTTCTCTAGTCCACTATATGCTGATGATTCTCACATTTATACTTCTTTTCCTCCATCTAATCTCAATAGTGTTCTTCATAATCTATCTCTATGTCTTTCTTCAATTATCGCTTGGTCTGACTCAAACTTAATCCTTCTAAGTTTGAATTAATTTGTTTTAATAAATCTAAACACTCTATTACTATTCCTCTTATTATCTTACCTGATTCTAAAATTCTTGATGTCTCTCATAAGTTTCGTAGTCTATGTTTTATCTTTGATTCTTAATTCTACTGTGTCTCTCTCTTCTCAGATTAATAGTTATGCTAGAAGCTCTTACTTTCATCTACGTAGAATAAAAAAACTTTTGCCTTTTCTTGATGATCTTACTTTTCTCCTTCTTGTTACTTCGTTAGTCTTATCTAGGATTGATTATTGTAACTCGCTCTACTATGGTCTTCCTGGCTCTATACTCTACAAGCTTTTAACTTTGCTGCTCGTCTAGTTGCTCGTGTCCCTTTCTTTTCTCATATATCTCCATATCTTGTTCTCTTGCACTGGCTACTTATAAAAAATAGAATAATTTTTAAAATTTGCACGTTTATGTATAAGTCTCAATCTAAATTATTTCCTAAGTATTTATCAGATATATTAATTGAACCTAAACGCCCCGGTTTTAGATCGTCTTCTTGTTCTCGCTTTTTCTTAACTCGTGTTAAACACTCTTTAGCCAAATCTGCTTTTGCTTTTTCTGGTCCTTTTCTCTGGAACTCTCTACTTACTTCTTTGACTACTTCTCCATCTCTTGCGAAGTTCAGAACGGATCTCAAGATCCATCTGCTTTCAAAATTCATTGAGGAGCGCTGTTGAACATCGCAGAAATAGCGCTTTATAAGCCAATTGATTGATTGATTGAATTGATTGAAAAATGAGCATCGGAAAAGGAATTTTGAAATTCCCATAAGATTTGATTAAAATATTTACGGGAATAAGAATTTTAAGAAATAGGGAATCACGTGACGGGAAGTGGAAATGAAAAAAGCGATATAAGCTAAATTCAAATAGAAGGAAATATTGTAATAAATTTACCGAGCTGAGCAATATTTCATGCTGGGTGCAAATGCAACACGAATTATTAATAACATGAACACATTTAAAATGTAAAAGCTTGCGGATTGATATGCCAACAGCCAAATGTAATCGAAGTGTAATTATGATGTGACCAACAGAGGGCCAAAGTTGGAGTCGGTCGGAGTCAGTCGGGGTCTGAAATTTTTGTCCGAGTCTGAAAATTTTACATTCGACTTTGGAAAATATTATAAATTTAAAAAAAAATTATATTTATTAAAAAAAGTCTACTAGTCTACTACACTCTCCAAAAGTTTAGAGAAACCAACACATATCAATGATAACGGAAATACATGCTCAACGACGCATTACACACAATGCTTATGATAAGCATGGTTATTCATTGTTATATTCGAACCCGGTGACTGCCAGACAGCGACCTTAACCTTAACTTGCGACCTTAACTACAAGGCCATCACGCCGCCCAAAATTTTTTATTCTCAAAATTTTTTTAAAGATCGTGTAGCGATATGCAATTATATTTAACACCGAAAATAAATTCTAAAAAAAATAACTATTTTTTCCAGTATTTTTTAAAACATAAATATAAAGTTATTTTACTAATAAAATCAATTACATCGACCGATTTTTAGTGTTTTATTAAGTATTTGTTTATTTGGCAGTGATAATAAGGTAAAAGGTCATGCAAAACTTGAAAAGTTTTTCTCGGAGTTGGGAGTGGAAATTTTTTGAGAGGCTGGAGTCGGATATTTTTCAATCGACTCCGACACCGTGATGATTATGATGTTATCTTATCAAAAATGTCTTGATATGTTTTCATCTATTAATATCTTAATTATAAACACGATACTTTTGAAAGTACTCAGGATTTATGCACAAGTAACAAAAAAACTCCATGTACAATTACAAATAGCTCAATTATAGTTATACATATTCAAGGTTGTGTACATATTTATAAAATCATATATATTTAACAAAATTAAATATATATGATTATCCCGTCAAATTCAACTTAAGTTTGAAAGACGGAGTAGTTTCTAAAGAAATTGAGATGGGACTAGAATACTAAAAAACTCAAATTTTCAAATTTTAATTAATCATTATAATTATTGTTGTTGTTTTTGTTTGTTCTTGTTTATTGTTGATGTTATATTATATTATTCTTTTTGCTTTTTAAAATGTTTCATAAATATTACCAAACTTGCTCTTGCTATTACAACTAGGAATGCGTCGGTTCCGAATCCGGATTCGGATCCGAATCCAGGGATTCGGAAAAGATTCGGATCCGCGGATCCTAAATTGAGGATTCGGCGTTTTACGGGTCCAAAATCAACTTAAGCGGCGAGAAAATTTTATCGATTGAGAGAAAAAGTGAATCTAAATATCAACATTGATTACGTAATAATCATTTAAAGTTATGAAAACTGATGTTTTTGAGATTCGTTTTGCACCTCTACAAATTTAACATTCAAAACAAAAATTTGATTTTTTGTAAACTTTATAATCCATTATTGCACATTTTAAAAATAAAAACTTTTTTATTTTAGAAATTCAGCTTCATGCTATGCTATATCATGGATTAATTAAACACCTATATGAAGTATCTTTGGATTTCGATCCGCCATTTAGAATTCGTTTGAGGTGTGCGCACATTTGTAGGTAATTTATTAACTTGACGTAACGTGAACGTAAAGGATGGATTCCAAACAAAAAAAAAGTTTGGTTTGGGAATATTTTTCAGTATTGGAAAATGGTACAAAAGTTAGATGCAATACCTGTGCTATAACTTTATCACGCGGCGCAAAAGATGTAAATGACTGTGGTACATCATCTATGCGTAAACATCTTCGTACCAAGCATTTTGAAAAATTTCGAAATCTTCAGCAAAAGGAGAGTGAAAAAGTGACAACAACAAAGCCTTCAACTTTTACTGATGGACAAACTCAGCTTCGCCAAGAAGGAATAGTTGCAGGTTTT